TCCGAGTCGACATTCATAGGTACAACGGTCCCCTACAAGGTTCCCTGCAACCCTAGGTTCTAGCTTGAAGTTCCAACCCAAAGCCCCTAAAATGGAAACTACTATTTAGGGTTTAGGGTTTAGGGTATAGTCCCCCTTGAGTAGATACAATATGGGGTATATGGGGATCTTATTATTATCTTTAAACATACTCCCACGGCAGCGCAAAACTGAAAGATCGTCCCTCAACACTGACAGTGTTTTCAGAGCATGCAGATTTCGTAAACAAAGCTTGCGAAGCCCAGGTGCTTGCTGCAAACCCAGAAAGCTGGAGAGCTGAAACCTCCAAAGGTGCCGCTCTTTTGTGTTGTTCAGGAAGGTTGCGGAACTTGAGGAATTGCCGGGAGTATGTGGGAGTTTCCCAAAATTAGGTTACCTTTTTGGGGGGTCCCCATAATAAGGACTATAGTATGTTGTCCCCTTATTTTGGGAAACTACCATGTAGGGATTCCATTCGGGGCCCTGTCAGTCTTTCCCACGATCTGGTGCCTGGCACTTCACCGCATCATGAGCCTGACTTCGTGCGCTGATCGTGGAAGTGGCTCAGGACGCACAGCGTTGGATGTCGCACAGGCAGCCGCGTGTGTCTTCTAGTGTGCACTTGAAGAGCTGTTCCTGCTGGGCTTCATAATATAGTAGATTGTCAAAATTATGTTCCCTTTTGGTACCCGATATTAGGGATCATATGATAAATTAGGGGCATTTCAAAAATTACCATCATGTTAACAACCTACTCTATCTGATCAAATGCAAAAGATGGAGGTCCTTAGTGTGCACTGCTTGCAGGATGCAATAGAGTGGTGCACGAAGCATGGGCGACTGCAGAAAGAGCGGCTTCGACATCAGCAGGCGAGGTGACGGGCAAATTTCTGGCTTCAGACTCTAGTGATGCCATTATTTGGCTGTAAACCTTATGTAATAATATTATAACAATAATGATATAATAATAATAATATAATAATAATATAGTCATATAGTAATAATACAATAATAATAATATTAATGGACTTGGACTTCTTTGCCTTACTTTTACTTTGTTGACAGGGTTGAATAGAATATGCCCATACCATGCGCGGCATTTGAGAGCTTCCTCCTGTGCGAGTCCGCAATCTGGAGCTCCCTGCCGCCTTCCTCATGCTGTAACCCCCAGTTGCAATATCATTCTCCATTTTCGTTTTCACTTGATTCTCCTTGGTTGGGGTAATGATTTTTGACCCTCGAGCTCTCCTTGTAAACAGCTAGCTGAACAGGATTCGATTCGTGTTTGAACTACTCACCAAACATCACCCAACCATTCGGGCACGGCTTTCAAACCCGTCGACGAGGATGGATGTGTCATCTGAAAACGGGGTTTCTGAACTTGTCAACTCAGCTGCCCCGCTGACATTTTTGAAATACTACAGCATAGAGAAATCAAATAGACATGAACATGCGGGGATTGTCCTAAATTACTGTCAATACGGGGTCCTCTATTTGGGTTCCTATTATAATACGGGTCCCTATATAAATT